CTGATGTCTGACTCCGAAGGCAGCTGGTAACTGGCATACGGCCCTGGCCCCCTCTCTGCCTCCGACACAGAGCCCTCATCATCTGACCCTTCCCCAGACTCCAGGACTGGCCCAGGTTCCTCCCCAACCTCCTCACTCTCCGAATCTGCTGCCAGCTCTGCTGGCCGCTGGCGGGCCGCAACACCACGTTACTAACTTAAGAACTGCAGCGATTCATTTAACATCGGTGGCAAGAAGGGCCGTAAATAAGGCCACGCTCACTTTATGACTCTCTTGCTTTGCAACAGAAATCTGAGCCCCCTTGTTCGTCCTACGTCGAGAGGACTTTCCTAAGTTTCTACAGGGAGATTTACCGATGGGCTCCCAAGGGAAGTTCTCTTTGAATGTCCCCTTCGGGGAACCGGTTCGCACATTTCACCTGAGCTTCCGGAGGGTGTGGATCCACACGACCCCAGCCAGAAAGAAGAAAAACGCCATGGAAATGTACAGCTTGGGAAGTGGGATTTCTCCAGCGGAGAGGTAGCTGTTTGGATTCTGTTCCGTGATCGCGATCTGCAAGCAGGAAGGAGGAAGCGGTTTGAAGATCCAGCAAAAAGGGGAGAATACAACGCGCATGTTATGGGACCCTAGCTGGAAGACTGCGTCACATGAGGATCCGTTTCTTCAACGGCAGGAAAACACGGTTCGAGATCTGGAACCGTTTCCCTCCCACGCAATTACCGGCCAATTGCTCCTTGGTAGAAACACTGAGGTTGTGTGAAAGGGGTTAGGGTTAATACGGGTCAAAGAGATTTCCCTGTCTCACAATCCTGCTTGGTTTTATTTTAATTCATTTTTTTTAAATAAAAAAAAACCTTAAGGTCCTTATTTATTGTTCGAGTGCGTTGTACAGACATTTTATGCAATGTCTTTGGGCAAGATGAACGCAATGCAGGATGGATGGATAGACAGACAGACACATTAGATCAGTGTTTCTCAACCTTGGAGGCTTTAAATCCTGTGGACTTCAACTCCCAGAATCCGCCAGCCAGCTGCGCTGGCTGGGGAATTCTGGGAGTTGAAGTCCACAGGATTTAAAGCCTCCAAGGTTGAGAAACACTGCATTAGATGTATGGGTGGGTGGATGAATTCCACAGGTGTTTAGAACAAGACCTCGAGAAAATGGCAGATAGATGGACAGAGGATGGGTGGGTGGGTGAATGGATGGATAGGTAGATGAAATGAGAGATAAGACAGACAGACAGAGAGACATTTGATGAGGAGTTTCACCTGGGGACAATGAAAGGCCCATGAGGAATCCGATTCCTGATTCTTGGAAGGAAAAGAGCAAGAGAAAAAAAACTTACATCCAGGCTGAAGGAAGCGTCTTCAGTCCGCACATTCCCCAGGGTGCACTTGTGGAAATAAAGACTGTAAAGTCCTTCTTGTTCCTTTGAATTGATGGTGAACTGAAAAGGACACAGAAGGAAGAAGGGATGACTTTGGCTTTGACTTTGGATGAACAAGCGCAACCAATAAAATTCCTCCACAATAAAAGCACAGTAACACAAAATAAATGCAGTTAATCTACTCGTGACCCGTCAAAACCGCGTTCCACAAAAGCGCGGTCGACAAAATCGCGTATGTGATGTCATCACA